ATGATGGTACAATTATGGAAGGTAAGTGACGACTTAAAGAATTAGAAGTGAGAAGACACAGGAAAAATTAATCGTTAAAGTATATTCTATGGCAACCGGATATTTCTCAATATTCATTTTGCTTAAACGAGAAATGGACAATTTATAATCTTTATTGTTTTTATTATTTTTTTTATTACAGCTTATGACTTCACAAAATTTTTAAGAAAAACTATTAGAATAGCGAATTTGCTAAACTCTATTAATTTACATAGAAATAATATGTTTTCCAAGGATTAATGAATAACATACTCAAATCACAGTTTTCATAACTTATGTCACTAGTTAGAAATTCCACATAGAATGATATCATATAAAAATGCTATATAGATATTAACTTGAATTATTTCAACTACATACTCTTAAAGACAATTTATGTCTATAGCACGAAAATTCTTAAGCATAAAGAGATTAGTGACCAACTTTAAAAAAATTTATGCATATAACACTTATGGGAAGGAAGCTCCTGAAAATAGCAAATTTGAAAGTTTTGTTGGTGGATTTTCTACTTGCATTCTCGGGAATGGATTTGTACCGTTAATTAGGTCATCGCAAAAAGTACTGGCGAATAAATTTGCATTGTTCTGGGATATGAGAGGCGGCATGCCAATGTTTGGAGTTCTTTGAAGTTGTCTATTTGCATTTTGTGATCCCCCAATATTTTGAGGTCTTCGTAACTGACCATTATTATTTTGTTGCTGAACGGCAATAATTTGAATCGTGGTTTGGTACATAATTGCAAATTTTTTGAAAAAAAAATTTGGAGAAAGGTGAAAAGATAGAGTTTTTATACAATTTTTTTTTTCTTTATGTTAATAAAGTTGATCTAACCCGTTACACCTTTAAGAAACATTACTATACACTCATTATATCTCGATACGTTAAGTTAAAAAACAGCAGATACTGTAAATTGCCGTATGCAAGCTCCAAAAATAGCAGACCTGTCATGCACTATCCCCAGGTGCGAACCACAAAATCTGCATTAATTCTCAACTCACTTCAATTCTCTGATTAAGGTACTTAAGAACGCCTCAAAATATTGTAAATAAAAAAAATATCATCTTAAATAGGAAATTAAATAGTTTATTTCAAATTAGTGCGATGGTGACATAAATTCTTTTATAAAAAAAAAATTTGTTATTTATCAGTTGTAGCAAATAAAATTTGCTTATTTTAATTCCTTTTAGATGACTTTTTGTTTTTCTGTATTTTCGGCATTTATGTTCGGACCGATGAATTAACCGAAAGCGCCTTGGACACGCAAAATACTTTCGGCACAGTCTAGTTAATGTTAGGATTTTTTAGAGTTTAATCTTTTTTTTGGAATCAGAAATATAAATTAAACATATCGATATAGATGGATAAATATTATTAAACGATAAGTATATAAATAAAAATTATACATTATATCTTGTTTCTCGTAATAAAAATGCTAAAGAGGAAAGATCTCATGATCTAATAGTATGAATAAACTAATGTGAAATATATATAACAATAGTATAAAAATTATGCGTGATTGCTTTCGTTCTTGTAATATATTATACTGTATATCACATGGCATTTATAGTTATGTAGTACGATTTTTACTAGCTTTGGTCTTATGAATAATGTTCATAAAACTCTTCAATGCATTTTCTCGTTTTGTTGATGATTATTTATTTACGCACAAATTTAACGCCGCTTGAGAATTGATAAGGAGCTTATTTGACTATAGGCGGTAAATTAGTTATATTAAAAGCTATTGTGAACACAAATAACTATTAACTGTAGTTTTGTTGGACAAGAAAGGGTGTTCGTGTTTCATGACTAAAGATGGGCAGTCGCGTATAAATGCTCATCAAAGATTTCTACGGAATTTGATTTTTTGTTGCCTGTTACAAATAAGCTGTGCAAAAAAAATAATAATAATAATGAAAATGGTTTAGTATATTAATCATTTACTGGGAATAAATTTATATTCAATTTATTTCTCAGAGCCGTATATTTTAGATTATTGTGAAATCCCATTTTTATTCTTTATGACTTTTGCTTCGTTTCTTTCCTAAACATGAGCTTTAAAAGCTACTTTAATCTAAGGATCAACTTTGGAAGGTTGATGCGAATTTATGCGACTCATGCATAATTATGTACTTTCCAATCTTAGATCAATAATCTTATGACTATTAGGGACCCATTGAAATGCAATATATGTTTCTGATCAAAGCATTGAATTTGATTTTACTAGGATTCAATACCAATCTTGCTGTACGCGTTACATTTATCATAACAGATATCATTATTACTTGAATTTGAGTGCAACATATTATTGTATTGTTAAAGTCCGATTTATAGATCTTGGCGTTTGATTTTGCAGAATTATACTTTGTTTACTTATTATCAAAGTTTGTGCGTTTTGCATTGAAATATACTAACAGCATGAGCAGATTGATCATATAGTGGTATATGCTGACTAAGCTGAGCAGGCCGAGAGTCTACAAGTATAGAATTGATTAATCATTTCGCTTCTCATTATATATTTATTATAACGCAATCAGTACCAAAATTATCGAAGCCGAGTATGTAACTGATTATAATAAGCAAAAAGTAGAGAAGGAGATTATCAATTGTAGTTTATAAAAATCTGATGATTATATTGTTATGCGAAATTACTAGTATCAATCGAATATATAGCCAATAGATGATTTAAAATAACAGAGATTTTCTGCTATACAATCTTGAAATAAGAATTCAGCTATTTGAAAGCCTCAATAATCTAAAATGAGTATGGTTAACGGGATTTTGCGGAATTGATTCTAACGATCATAGGGTGAAAATTGGGTTTGAACCAAAATAATGCGTGCTCTTAAACCGTTTGTCAATTCAGCCCTAAATTTTTCGAATCGACCAGGGCGGCCCCAAAAAAGTTCAGATAAATGGCACAGCCACAGCATAAATAACAAATAAATGACAAGCCGTTACCAGACTTTATTTATTTTGAAGCTATTAGTCTGTATGGGTCACTTCAAGCTTAGTAATCATCACATCACGTGAAATCACGCAATGACGTCATTTGTTTACTAGCACTAACAAATTGGCCTAAACTGAATTATCACCTAACCTTAACACTAATCTCTTAGGCCGAATGTTTAATCATGTGATGGGATTATCACGAAAATATCAACTGAGTTCAGTGTTCTTGAAATTACCCGAAATTTTTGGTGTTGCAATAAATCTTAAAAAGATTACAAATTACTTGAAACCCGTGTTGGTTTATTCCAGTAGGTA